GACAGTTCATTTATTCTGACACTGTATCGTGTTACTGTGCCATCGGCGATGTAAATACACACGGGGTCAGTCAAAAAATGGTGTTTTTAGTACGGAAACGTGAGTGAGAGCATTTGAACGGCGATCGTCGAGTTTGCGTGTGATTGAAAAGTGAAAAAAATATCAAATAAAATGTGAAAATCGAGTGTATCAAGTGGAACAAAATATTTTTATACAGTTTTGCAGGATTATATCACCTATTGGATTATTTCACGTCTGAAAAACATTGGATTATATAGAAAGGGCTGTTCAGCCGGTGAGTCCACAAAAATTCATCATTTTTTTACATTTATTCCGTGGGGAGTTCACCAGAAAAATGAAACAAAAAATACGAGGAAACACGATTAGAAAAATCTCAATCCACTCTATTATGGAGTGCCATGAGGTGCATGACTGGTGCATCGAATGAAAATTTTATATCTCCGAGAATTCCATTTTTTTTTATTCAAAAATTTGGGTGTTGGGTAATGCTAAAATATAATTACAATGACTAGATCTGGGTTCGTTTTATGGTTGTAAAGTGATGAGAAAAGCGTTGCAACTCTCTTCTGTCGGCAAACATTGGCCGAATGCTTCTAGTAATAAAGGCTCGTCCTTGATGGCTGCTTCATAGTCTGTAAAGGCGACTTTTCCATCGTGATCAACATCCAATTTTTTGAGCGCAAGTTCCGAAAGATCTCGGACCCCTTCGTCCGGGTCTTCCTCACCAGGCTGCTTTATTAAGCAATTTCTAGAAAAATTAATTATTCCCTGACTAATTTCCGACGACAATATCATGGAGTTATTGCCCGATATCTTTTCATATTTCATGATTGACCCACTTGAATAATTGGAACATCTCATCCTTCGTGATGTACCCATCAGAGTTCAGGTCATAAACTCTGAAACAGAACTCCATTTTATCCCGGAGAGTACCTCTCAGGAAAACGTCCAGTCCTGTTATCCAGGACTCCAGTCTAATTGCACCCTCGCATTCTCGATCCCAACAGCAAAACATTCTCTCAATTAAGGCGTCTTCTGTGATGATATCGAAAGTATTGTGCATCAACTCTCGAAATATCGTGCGATCAATTCCCTGGTGTCAAGTTAATACAGAAAACTTAAATGATTCATAATGCCTTTCTAAAAATTCTGTCGCGAATTAGTGAATTCAACTTTATCGAATTAAATTAATTTAATTAATGGTGATTACCTCAACGGTTTGGATTGTTTGAGGCCCTTTACTCAAAATCGATGGGCCCTTTTGCTGCCCAGGTAGAGACGTGAGTTTTCTGTAGATTTTACATAGCGCTTCCAGCTCGACTCTACGACAAAAAATTCATTTAAATCTTGCATTAATTTTACTAAGAGAATCTTAATCCATCAAGTGAAATAGAATCCCATTATTTTTATAATATTTTAATATTATAAAAAATATATTTTGTATATTTTTAAATATTGATAATATTATTTATATTTCAATATTTAATAATTGATACAACTTTACCAGTTTTACATAAAAAAATTTTTTAGTGAGCTTTGTTTATGTTTATATTGAAATGACCTTGAGAATCTTGTTTTCTTGCGCAACGTATCGACGACCTTGGCGTGGTATGTTTTCATACTGGCATCGTCAGGACGTCGTCTGCGTCTCCTCCGGGGGGGTGACTCGGTGCTGGGCTTTTTCGAGTTAACCGATGCCTTTCGTCCGCTCGTCAGGAAGATTGAAACACTTTTCAGGACTAGAGCACCAGTTCGCGCACTCATACGACTCATAATGGCGCTGAGGTCGAGACCACCATCCCCACCACCCTTGCTCAAACTCAGCATCATCATCCACTGGGGATTCCCTCTTTTTTATATCTCTGCACAAAAGTCCAGTTTTTTTTTTAAAATAGTACGTTGTCGAGGCCGGTAAATTTTTGATAAATGATTGACGGAATTGTTAGAAAAAATTCGATGAGGAATTAGGATTATAAAAAAATCTTAGGGCGAACAATTGGAGAGAAGTAATTTCACCCTTGAACCAACGATTTTTGTTCTGTTTGTGCTTCATTGGAATTTCGAATCCACTTGGAATCTCAATTGCTGAATAACGAGGAATTGTTCAGGGGGTGTGGTTTGCATTCGATATGCAATCCAA